GACAAAGTTCCCAACCTGTGAATATAAGATATAATTTTTGATAATTATGTATTCCTAATTTTTTCAATTCAATAAACTACTGCTTTAATGTAGTTGTTATTATTACTAGGTAGACAAATAAAAATAGTTTAGTCTTAACTCCATCTTTTAATGGGATAATGGGAGGGGGGGTGACTGTTTTTGTCACAATACACCTTCTAAATGCATTTGTCTTGTGTTGTTTCATGTTGAGAATGAACAAAATGAATATATTCTGTTAATCTTTTCATTTAAAAAACTTGTAGGAATTGTAGCTTGCATTGATTTATAATGAACTCAGTTAATAATTACTTTTCCATTTCATATATTTGTCCTTGAATGGAACCTGTAAACCCTCAATATATTTAGATGTCGTCTTTTTTACAACAAGAAAAAAACCAAACCAAAAATGTCCAAATTAATTTTCATTTACACATTTGTCTTGTATACTTCTGTATTTGTGTGTTCGGACTTGAGAAATTTTCACTTATAGAATCTGTTTTTGATATTTTAATTTTAAAAGGGTCATGAAAAAGTCGTCATTTATTACTTTTGAAAATATTATAGAGGACGTGAGTCAGACTCTAATAAAAACGCATAAATAACTTCCAGTATATATATTTCTTATAACTTATTACTAGAGGGTTCAGAACTAGAGTCAATATCGATATCGCACGTGTAGACTGTAGATGATGATATCAGTAACCAATATAAGATTAAATAATTTTTAGAAAATTGTATATTTTGCTAAAAAAAAGTTTCCTTTGAGTATTCTGTAAGTATTTTCATTCACAAGATAAAGGTTGGAAATATTCCAACAGGATATGACCCGCTCCATGCAGTCATTCTTTAAACCAACAAATCAAAATTAATTATGTTTGTAAATGATTAAAGTGCAGATTGTTAAGTTAATTGTGAAGTTGGAATGCACGTGTATTGTGGATAATGCAAATTGTAGAATTTGTCATCTTTTTCTGTTTGTGGTGTAAATATAGGATATAACTGTATGTCACGTGGACCGAAACGTGGATTTTTATGTAATCCTGGCGTTAGGCATTTTCCCACAGGCATTTTCCTAAGGGCGATTTCCCAAGTTACAATTTCCCAAATGTGCAATTTCCCAAGAGGCAACTTCCAAAGGGTTAGGTTAGGCCCTCTGATGCGCCGCAGCACTCTAGTGTACCGACTCCATTAGCGCCTGATCCAATCAGGGTTCAGTCATGTGTTTGGTGTCTATTCTGAACCAATAGAAATTGCATGGCGGTAACATCTATCTTTTTATCAAGCTCATTATTTAATTAGAGATAAATCCTTATATCGGCGCTATCAGTAAATGGAAATATTTACTTTTACTGAAACAATAGTAACAGGCTGCAATGTGGTCCGAGCGCTGCGGTTAGGATTGGCTAAGGGACCGAGCGATGCGGATAGAACATACTTGGGTCCGAGCGCTGCGGCTAGGACAGACTTAGGAAGTTCCCGTTTGGGAAATTGCACATTTGGGAAGTTGTTACTTAGGANAAAAAACTATAGTTTTTAAGGGACTCATTCAAATCCATTTAAAAAAAGAAAAAAAGATCTAAATTCTTGAGGGGCACCGAGCATTCTCGATTATAGATTCATACTAAAACACACACTTAACAACAACATAAACATCTTTTCTTCCTATCTCACCTTTCAAAACAATCATAGTAGGAGTTTGTGAGAAGTATATTATTGTTCAAGGTTTAAGGTAGTAAAGCATGATTAGAACAGACAGCTCTTTACTCCATCTTCTATTCATTTTTAAAATATAAAATAAATAGTACTTACAAAACAATCTTAGTAGGAATTTGTGAGAAGTATATTATAGTTTAAGGTTTAAGGTAGTAAAGCATGATTAGAACAGACAGCTCTTTACTCCATCTTCCATTCCTTTTTAAAATATAAAATACCCAAATAGTACTTTCAAAACAATCTTAGTAGGAATTTGTGAGAAGTATATTATAGTTCAAGGTTTAAGGTAGAAAAGCATGATTAGAACAGACAGCTCTTTACTCCATCTTCCATTCCTTTTTAAAATATAAAATAAATAGTACTTACAAAAGAGTCATTCAACTATTAGGAAAGACTGGTATGTGCATAATGAAAAGCTTGTTTGTAAACCAGCTGTATTAAATACATCTTCGTTATTGTTTGGAAGAAAACTATTTTCTGAGTTGTCCTTAACCGTCAAAAACTAAATTTCCACAGGTCAAAACCGGACTTCCTCATAAATAATGATTTAAATACTGTGCTTGATGATTTATTTCTCTAAAACGAAGTTCGAAAAGGGAGAAAAAGTTAAGTTCTATACATGGAAAATGTTGGTCATTTGACGCCCCCCCCCCCCCTCTTTGGAAATCTGGGGGAGACGCCACGCCGTATTTAAACATACGCGGAACTTCCTTCTCTACACTCATCAATTCAGATTTTGTAACTCCTTTGCTGGAGTTTAACTGCCATGGCAGTAAACCTTAATTGGTTTCTTGAACATTTCTCCTTCTCAATAGATGTTATAAAATTAGAAACTCTGCCAAGGGTGAAATTGGCAATAAAAAAGAATTACATTTGAGAATTTTGTTAAAAAAGGACGGATTATAAAATCAAAGTTTTCAATAAAGTAGACTTACACCTAACTACACCACCAGGTTGCAAAAATAAAGGAATCTGACGATTCAAATTTGCGGTTAGTGATCAGTTCTTTGATAAAAAAAAAAACAACATTCAATTAGAGGCGAGGGTTTATTAAGCAAGAATACCACAATATCAAAAACCCCTTGATCGAAATTCAGGAGTTGTTCGAAAATCAGAAGTTGATCGAAAATCAGAAGTTGATCGAAAATCAGGAGTTGATCGAAAATCAGGAGTTAATTGACAAAGTGCGCTATAGCAGTTAAGGATACAAGATATTGTTTAACATGTAGTATTACTAAATTTTCATCTTCCCTTTAAACTTCTTTCTTTCTTCTTCTTTCTTCTACTCTTTCTTCTTGTTTATCTTTCTTTCTCTGTCTCTTTCTTCTTGTTTATCCTTCTTTCTCTGTCTCTTTCTTCTTGTTTATCCTTCTTTGTCCGTCTTTTCTTCTTGTTTATCCTGCTTTCTCCTTCTCTTTCTTCTTGTTTATCCTTCTTTCTCTGTATTTTCTTCTTGTTTATCCTTCTTTCTCCGTCGCTTTCTTCTTGTTTATCCTTCTTTCTCTGCCTCTTTCTTATGTTTATGCTTCTTTCTCTGCCTCTTTCTTCATGATTATCGTTCTTTCTCCGCCTCTTTGTTCTTGTTTATCCTTCTTTCTCCGCCTCTTTCTTCTTGTTTATCGTTCTTTCTCCGTCTCTTTCTTCTTGTTTATCCTTTTTTCTCCGTCGCTTTCTTCTTGTTTATCCTTCTTTCTCCGTCTCTTTCTTCTTGTTTATCCTTCTTTCTCCGTCTTTACTTCTTGGTCTTTCTCCGACTCTTTCTTCTTGTTTATCCTTCTTTCTCAGTCTCTTTCTTCTTTTGTTTATCCTTCTTTCTCCGTCTTTTCTTCTTGTTTATCCTTCTTTCTCCGTAGCTTTCTTCTTGTTTATCCTTCTTTCTCCGCCTCTTTCCTCTTGTTTATCCTTCTTTCTCCGTCTCTTTCTTCTTGTTTATCCTTCTTTCTCCGCCTTTTCTTCTTGTTCTTTCTCCGCTTCTTTCTTCTTGTTTATCCTTCTTTCTCCGCCTCTTTCTTCTTGTTTAATCCTTCTTTCTCCGTCTTTTCTTCTTGTTTATCTTTTTTTCTCGACGTCTCTTTGTTCTTGGTTATCCTTCTTTCTCCGCCTCTTTCTTCTTGTTTAATCCTTCTTTCTCCGTCTTTTCTTCTTGTTTATCCTTCTTTCTCCGTCTTTTCTTCTTGTTTATCCTTCTTTCTCCGCCTCTTTCTTCATGTTTATCCTTTCTCCGCCTCTTTCTTCATATTTATCCTTCTTTTTCAGTCTCTTTCTTCATTTGTATCCTTCTTTCTCCGTCTCTTTCTTCTATTCCTCCTTACTTGTCTCTTGTTTTCATTGTTTATCCTATCTTCACTTGTTCTTCCTTCTTCTTTCTCCTTCTTTTCCTTCATTTTCTCTTTTGAGGTTTCTCGTATTTTTTTACTTTTCCATATAAACTTTCCTGCTTTCGACTTTTTCTAATTTTTTCCGCCGTTTTCCTTTTTCTTTTCTCTTCTTTGGCCTTGTTCACAGAGTATTTTATTTCAAATTTATCATCTATGTTAAGATACTATTTTTATTTTATTTTTATACACAGTTATAAATTTATATTGCATAGTTTATTTAAAGCGAAAATAAAATTATGAAAAATCTAAAATACTGAACACAATCTAAATTCAAGATATGGTTGTCAACCATTAACAATGATACATGTAAAGTCGTCTGTAACTTAGAAACCCTTCTCGGAGATACTAAAATCCAAACCAAATAATTTTAGGCTCCGGTCCTTTGTTCTCCCATCGGAGTGTAAATAAGCCTTGTGAATCCATCCATTTTCAAAAGTTAAACAAAGAATATTTTCACATAAAGAATTAGTGACTTTCCTAAATAATTAATTGTCATTCTTTTCAGAAGTTTAAAGAAAACGTCTTAGGACTGTCCGACGACTTAACCCTTAACATCCAAAAATAGATCGTAAGAATCTTTTCATTATAAACAATTCATTATATCGATTTATATGTTATTATTTATACAATTTATTTCAGGAAATAAAGAGTTTTTCTTCATTATCGGTTTTGATTTGAGGGTTATCCAGTTGTCTATCTGTTCATTATTGAGAATATTGCTGCTATACGACAACAATGGTTTAATAAGGATTATATTTCTTGTTAAAGAATAAATAATATATTAATGTGAGTGTACTTTCAAACCAATAAATTACAAATCTGAAATGAAATCTCAACAAAATGACCTCATAAAGGATAAAAAAGGAAAAAGGGTAAAAAGGCAAAACCTACAGTTTCTAATTATATTTCATTTGGAAAAGGAAAATAAAGATTAAGAATTTGAATTGGAAGAAATCTTGATGACTTGATGAATTACAAGCTGCTTCATTGCAATACTCAGAACAAATCCTAGAAATACAGTTGTCATGGTCATTGTCAAGGTCATTGTCATGGTCGTTGTCATGGTCATTGTCATGGTCATTGTCATGATCATTGTCATGGTCATTGTCATGGTCATTGTCATGGTCATTGTCATGGTCATTGTCATGGTCATTGTTATGGTCATCGTTAAAAACTTACACAACAGCTTTCGCCTTTGAAGTATCTACCGCACAGCCAGTATGACCCTCCACCTTTAAAGGCAATGTTGACGAAATGTCAAGTGAGCGGCATGTACATGGCAAAACATACAACGATACCCTTCAACTCTTAGACTGATCAACATTAACGATACTTATATTATCTTCAGAAATATTTAACATTCTTGCTAACTTTGTATTTAAGCTGTACACTCAAGTTTAGCAATATAGTTTGCATACAATCTTTAGCGAGAAAAACACGGATTTCTCCGACATCAATGATCATATTAAAAATTACAGGAGACTGGTGTGAATCGCACAATTGAAATTTCCTCTACAATTTCTTTAAAGAAAACAAAAGTATTTCAAAATATATCTTTTTTATTTCTGGTATTGAGTTTACCTTGGAGCATGTTCGAAGTAGAGATATAAGTTTACCAGCCTGGTCATTGGTATTTGCATCAGAATCATCTAAACAAAATTCAAATTAATCAAAGTTTTAAGCTCTCACAAAAAGTTTGATTAGAATTTTACCGATTATTTTTTTAAAAACTAGTTAAAAATAAGAAGTGATTTATGTTTTTTTAAATTTACATGTTTATGGCTACAAAAAAGAATACGCAATTGTTTGATGTAAATTCAAAGGAAAAATTGATCCAGTCTTTAAAATGCTCCATATCATTGTTGTATGGAAATTTTCCCATTTTGAAATATTTCAAAACATGAGTTCTCTGATTCAGAAGAAATGTCTAAGATGAACACAAGGAGTGGAACCCCGACCCCCCTCTTCATAGAATGTGACCATGCTAACACATGAATGACAAGCTGAATCTTCAGTTTTTATGAATAAAAGATGAATATGAACGGATAAATGAAGAAATAAATGAATAAAATAGTTGGCATTAATAAAAGAAACGAACAATGATCGTCTGTAGAAGAGGACACTAGTTTTAGTTACAAACTGAAATTTTCTAATCCCTATAATCTTTTAGCCTGATGTAAACCCTTTAAATGTCAATCTTAAACTATTTTATCTAATATAATTCACTGTTTGCAATATCAGAGGTTTACAACATGAGGTTGACAAAACTCAATTCCTTTATCTTTCTCTGAAACAAGTCGATATCTCACTGACAAAACAACAAACATTACAGTATAAAGGAATGTTTATATACTGTCTTGGAGGAAAAACTAAGAAATATTTTGATGAATCTTTTTGTTCTCTAATATTGTAATATAATATGTCTGTGTTTTGTTGCAATATGCATAGCTTTGTGTTAATGAAAGATCTAATTTACAATAAATTATTAAGGATATACAACAAAAACATTCCTTAGAGCTCTAACGATTACAGGAAATCAACTGCGTGTGTGGAAATTTAGAGAATTGCTGACGTGACATGTCAAAATAAATTAAAAAAGTACTCAGAGATAATGGTAAAAGGTATTTTTGGGATTTTTGATTAGAAAAATAACGTGTTCTAAAAATTCCGTTGAAAAATCTCAAGTTGTCTGCAGAGTGCAGACTGAAATATTTATCTATATAAATGATAATATAGTTCATTAAAAAAGAATTTATCGATGTAAATGATAAAACCCTTGCCTATATATATATTTAAACAAAGATTCCTTAGACTTGTATAGATAACAAAATATATTATTTTTTGTTTTGTAATATTGAATATTGATAAATAAAACTAAAGTAAATTCCAGAAAAAAAATCATAAAAGTAAAAATGAATTTTCAGATTCGTTGTCTAAAAGTTCATATAATTAATCTAAAAGATATATTATTACTCCATATCTAACAGCTCTATTATTACTCAATATCCAGAAGTTTTATAATTACTCTATATCTTACAGCTCTATTATTACTCCATATCTAAGAGTTCTATTATAACTCTATATATAGGAATTCTATTATTACTCTATATCCAGAAGTTCTATTAATACTCTTCATCTAAGAGGTCTATTATCATATCTAACCTTGTAAATTTGGAACATAGGTTTTAACAATACTGCAGAATTTATCCTCCGATCCACAATCCTCTGCAGGGCCTACAAACAAACACAATATTTTTCAATCATATCAAATCAATATTTTTATCATAATTTGCCATGATAAAATATTTATGGGGAAGAAAGTTCACCACCAGGATGAAAATGTTTTTTAACACTGATATTTTAGTATATGGAAGGTTTCAAATGAAGTTTCAGGTATTAAAGTTTGTGGGATAAGTTAAAAGTAAAGTTGGGCCAGAGAATCTGAATTTTCAATTTCATAAGTTCCGTAAAATCGACATTTAAACCAACTTTATGGCCGGGTGGGCTTACAAATAACAATTAAGCAAAGGAACTAAATTTTTGGCGCAAACTCTGATTTTCTAAACCCTACATCTTTACAACCCGATGTTGAAGACATTTGATATTTCAAATTATGAATTCTGCTACAGAAAGGGAAATTTACATTCTTAAGATTTTTTTCTTACTAAGAGTCCCGCTTTTGTGAATTAGCCACGAGGAAAAGTTCAAACTCATTTGACATTAATGGTACTTTGTGACCTCGTAGATCCTCAAGCTCTGATGTTATGCACAAGTATGAGAAAAGCAAACTAAATGTGACATTAATGTTACTACTTTGTGACCTCGTAGCTCCTCTAGCTCTGATGTTATGCACAATTCAAGTATGAGAAAAGCAAACTTATCTGGTTAAATATAAAAAATCAAAACCATTTTATATTATCTCTATTACATTCATTACTAGGAGAATATGATTAAAAACATAAAAAGTTTCAAGCTTATGTGTAATTTACTTCAGTTTTAAGACTCACGCTTTCTCTTCATAATTGTTGTCTGTGTTGATCCAGACTATTTAATAAAATATAAACTTGTATTGTATTTGTAGACAACCTTCAGACAAAATACACTTTTTATTAAAACAAAACTATTTATCTTTTCATTTGATAAATTACCTTTTGTTAAATATATGTTATTAAAACTGACCTATAGATTAATCATAAAAAAGAGATTAATCGTATTATAGCAAGCAGTGGCGGAAAAAGAGAAAGAAGATTTGATTACAAAACTTAAAGGGAGTGTTCGCGAAAAACGAAAGGGGGTATAGGCTTAATGCGATAAAAAAGCGCTTTTGATCGCTACTAATCTTACTTCTATCTGTTGCGTCTATATGGAGAAAATTGTTAAAAACGACTCACACCAAAGAACGTAGTGTTCATACAAATTCAGAAAGATGCAACATTCAACTCGGATCGTAAAAAAATCTATTTAATTCCCAACAAATTATCCAGATATCAAACAATAGTCATCGATTATTTTTCGACGCATTCATACATAGTTAATATTTCATTATATTTTGTATTTTTCATGATTTGAGATTTACATTTTTTCCTGTTTCGAGGATTTTTGATAATGAAGACGACATTTTCATATTTTCCAGAAATGTTCGAAAATCCAGCGCCAGCGAAAATTAATCTAAAAAAACAAAATCAAAAATATTATGAAATATTAACTATATATGAATGCGTCGAAAAATAACCGATTACTATTGTTTGTAATATCTGAATGATTTGTTTGGAATTAAATTGATTTGTTTACGATCCGAGTTGAATGTTGCATCTTTCCGAATTTGTATGGGCGCTGCGTTCTTCCGTGTGAGTCGTTTCTAACAATTTTCTCCACATAGAAACAACAGATAGAAGTAAGATTAGTAGCGATCAAAAGCGCTTTTTTATCGCATTAAGCCTATACCCCCTTTCATTTTTCGCGAACACTCCCTTTAAATGTTCACAATAACTCGGTTTTAAGAGATGATATGCACCAGTTTTCATCCATAAACTCTGCGACAAACTCTGCTTTTCTAAACCCTATATATCTTTGCAACCCAATGCAGTTGACCTTTGATACTAAAAACTGTGAATTCTATTAGATAAAATATTCTAAATTTGAAATTTTAAAAAATTTAAACATTTGTTTGCAAAGAAATAGTAATTGAAAATTTTTAGTTAGTGACAATAACTCTATTCCTCCTGTTCAGCTTTTGTATTTATTTATGATTATGAAATTAAGTAATGTTCCAAAAAAAATTATTGTCGCGCATCTTACATTCAGCATTCTTAAAACTATCATTTTCTCTCGAAACTTTGGGACATTCCGTATAATATTTTTATGTAACAAAGGATGTTGAGTGGAGTATCTTGTTCTGTTTGCATTTTTATCGAGCTTTTATCGTATAAAGTTTTTTTAATTTTGATAAGATTTGTGATTCTTAAATCACAGGCTCTAAAATTAGATCTTCAAAATTAGATTTTTAATGTATTCAATAAAGATATCCTTCATATTATGAGAAATTCTTATTATGTGTTCTTGAAAGATAAAAGATTTAATAAACACACGGTTCTTTTTCTTTTTAATCTCAAAAGAAGTTTAATTTCCGATGAGAGTGAAAAGTATTTAAGTTTGATGAGAAAGTTTAGCCGGATCTAAAACTTTGCTAAATGAGTTTTTACCTTACAGGAACAATTAAGAGGAAAGGTTTAAAAACTTCTAATATTAAAAAAATGACGTTAGTTTGTTGGACGTTTTTTTAATTCAAAGCTGGGATAAAACGGGTGGGAGTATGGCATCCTTTCATCATTTCCTCAATTGTCAAATATAAAAATTGTGTGGTTATATACAAACTTAGTGAATTATTTTTAAAATTAAGTTTTATACTAAAGAACTTTAAATTGACTCACCGACCAAAGCATATAAGACAAGTGTTTACTACAAGAAATTAGAAAAGAGACTCAAAACTTGCCTCTGAGTTTTTTATTTTTATTTTCTAAACTTGACATTCTTGTACTGTAAACCTTTGATATTTGAAGCTATAAATTATGCAAGATCTAATGATTAAAGTTTGAAATATGTTGGGTTTACACCAATAAGTTGTAAAGATATAGAAAACAGAAAATTATAGGTTGAGGCAATTATTTAATTATTTTTATGACAAAATAGTTTTCTTACCTGGGTTTGTTATACAGGATAGTTCTTTTGTACTTTCGCATTGTGAACAGGATAATAGGAATACTTAACATAGAAATATAACAGAACAATAGGAATACTTAACATAGAAATATAACAGAACAATAGGAATACTTAACATAGAAATATAACAGAACAATAGGAATACTTCACATAGAAATATAACAGGATAATAGGAATATTAAACATAGAAATATAACAGAACAATAGGAATACTTAACATAGAAATATAACAGGATAATAGGAATACTTAACATAGAAATATAACAGGATAATAGGAATACTTAACATAGAAATATAACAGAACAATAGAAATATTTAACATAGACAAATAACAGGATAATAGGAATATTATAACAGAACAATAGGAATACTTAACTTAGAAGTATAACAGGATAATAGGAATACTTAACATAGAAATATAACAGAACAATAGGAATACTTAACATAGAAATATAACAGGATAATAGGAATGCTAAACATACTAATAGAACAGGATGATAGAAATACTAAACATACTAATAAACGAAGGATAATTATGAATACCTGGATTATAATGAAGAAGGGTTAGAAAGCTTAATTGCTGGATAATTCTTTGTCCAATCAGCATTTTGAAAAAAAAATTCTTTAATTTTTATTGCATTTATGCTTCATTTTGACTTCATAAATCTGAAAAAAAGTTGAATTCATAAGAACACAGAATATATTTGTAATATAAAATGTTTATATTAAGTATTAATTTTTTATTTATGTTGGGAAAATTGGTCGAGGGAATCTGTTTTTAAGTAAAATTTATAATTCCTTCCCGGAATGAGATGAAAATGCGTGTATTTTCTACAAAAACTTCGCAGAGTCTATCATTGTGTGGTTATTCTACTTTTTTTGTTCCAAGAAACGTAAAGTAATTTAACATCCCTTTGGTTGGGTTTTCATAGGTAGGCACAAAAAGTTTATACATTTACCATAGTTTTTTAGTTTGCATTTATGCATTGCCTAGGGTTCAGTTCCACTTGATGAATCCGGACTAATACAGAGCTTTGTTTGGTTTGGTTTGGTTTGGTTTAGATGCAGTTTTGAGGGATATCGGTGGAATCCATTATTCCTTTCATCTTCTCTATTACATACTGTCAGATATTTGCATCGAATGTACACAATAAATATAAAAAAACACAATACACATTTAAGTAAATGGAATAATAAATCTTTTCTACTCTTTTATAGATTTTTATCGATGTAAAGAAACTATAAATTTCTCAACACAAACTTTAATTATCCAATTGCTATTTACGACGAGTAATTTTTGCATAGATCTTCTTTTGCAAAAAGCAAATAGAAATAGTTATTTTCTCCCCATATTATGTACAAATATAGTGAAATGTAAACAATAAACATCATCATGTTGTTATTATGTACAAATATAGTGAAAACCACACAATGGAAACGACAAATTATTTACATTATATTTGACCTCAAATGAAAAACAAACAATATTATCAAAAAAACTTTATAGTATTTCTTTCCAACGCATTAAAGTTAAATAGAGATAATTTATTTTCAATGACAGGGCAAAACCCCAGGACAGGTTCATAATACATACAACAACTTGAAGTATACAAAAGAACATAGTAGGACAAGAAAAAAACAGTATCAGGATATGATAACAGAGAACATGGAACTAGGACAAGAGGACAAGAATCACAATAGAAAGACAAGACACCAAGATGTAGGACAAGAAACAACAATACATAAGAAAAGGAACAAATACTAGAAAAAGAAATCACAATATTGGGACAAGAAATCACAATATTGGGATAAGAAACCAAAATAATGGGATAAGAAACCACAATAATGGGACATTATTATGTACAAATATAGCGAAATGTAAACAATAAACATCATCATGCTGTTATTATGTACAAATATAGTGAAATGTAAACAATAAACATCATCATGCTGTTATTTTGTACAAATCAAGAATGACAAGCTGAATCTTCAGTTTTTATGAATAAAAGATGAATATGAACGGATAAATGAAGAAATAANACAATATTGGGACAAGAAATCACAATATTGGGACAAGAAACCACAATATTGGGACAAGAAATCACAATATTGGGACAAGAAACCAAAATAATGGGATAAGAAACCACAATAATGGGACAATAAACCGCAAAAGTAGAGGAAGAAACCACAATATTGGAAGAAGAAACCACAATACAGGACAAGATACAACTATAGTAGGACAAAATACCACAAGAAGGAAAATAGTAGGACAAAAAGCCTCTAAAGAAAGACAAGAAGACTCGAGAGAAAGTAGTACTAGAAATCACAATACTAGGACTAGACACCATAAAATTAGGACTAGAAACCACAAAACTATGACAAGAAACCACAACTGCAAGACAACCACATTAGGAGGACAAGAAGCCTCTTTAGGAAGACAATAAAACTCAAAAGAAGATGAGAACCACAACAGAAGAACAAATAAATGCAAAAATAGGACAAGAAACCTCGATGGGAAGATAATAAAACTCCAAAGAAGATTAGAACCAAAATAGAAGGACAATGAACCCAGAAGTAGGACTAGAACCCACTACAGTGGGATCCGAAATGTTCAATAAACATACCGAAACAAACCTTACAAGGAGAATATAGAATTTTAAATAATTTAACCTTTACATATTTGATAGCGAGCAAGCAAATAAAAGCAATTATTTGGAGCTTTGAGATTAGAATGAGCCAGCAAGGATTATATAAGGATAAGTCTAGATGGGAAAACAAGAGAAAGAAAGATTAAATAGGGAAAAAATTCATAATGTTTCTTTTATATATCTTAAAAGTTTTAGTCAGAATAACCTTTACCTAGACCTTAACCTAATGTTTCTTTTATATATCTAAAAAGTTTTTAGTCAGAATAAAAACGGTCAACTTAAAAATGTAAATATATTTTTTTTAAATATTTGGAAAAATTTTAGAGTTGATAAAAATTCTTTGAAAGTTTAAAGCTTTAACTTTTAACAATTTATAGTAATATAACATAATAATAATAATAGACATAAGTTGGACTGGGGTAGGTTAGATGATTCTTTCTTCTCCGGGTAAAGAATATAACTGAGAGAGAAATCTTATAACAGGAGGCTCCACTCAATACACGAGAGACGGGATGGAAGAGGGGGAGGGGAGGTCAATATGTTAAGATTTTGGAAAATTTACAGCACACATTTTTTTGCCTCTTTTTTATTAATTTGCTCTTTATTCCTAAAGTATGTTAGTTTAAAGTTTTACATACTCTGTATTAATTCGGGGTAAATGTTAAAATCAACTCACAAAAGGGTGTCAACATGGAAAGGCATGTGGCTAAATAAAAAAATTCCAATTTTAACAATAATCCATTGGTACCAAGATGTTAGACGAAAATAATTGAGAAATTCAAAGTTAAAACACTGATCAGATATTAATCAAAGTTTGAGGTGCAGATCAATTATTAATTCAAAGTTGGAACACGATCATCCAAAGTTGGAACACTGATCAAATATGGATTCAAATTCAATTATTGATTTAAAGTTGATATACAGATCAATTATTGATTTAAAGTTTAGACACAGATCAATTATTGATTTAAAGTTTAAACACAGATCAATTGATTTTAAAGTTGAGACACAGATCAATTATTGATTTAAAGTTTAGACACAGATCAATTATTGATTTTAAAGTTGAGACACAGATCAATTATTGATTTACAGTTTAGACACAGATCAATTATTGATTTTAAAGGTGAGACACAAATCCATTTTTGATTTTAAAGTTAAGACAGTGATTAATTCTAAAAGGATTATAACAATTTTACAACCAAAAACATATCTAAGGTTTCAGGATTATTATTCAAGATTATACTATTTAAGCATAACATTAATTTAAATCAATTTTTTTCAATATATTTTTATTTAATGCTATCAAAAAGAAACTTCACTCCACCCCCCCCCCCACACTTCATCTTAATTTATGTTTTTTTCTTTCTTGACCTTGTTCATTTCTTGTTCTTGTTCCTTTCTTGTCCTGCTTCATTTCTTGTCTTTGTTTCTTTCTTGTCCTTGTTCCTTTCTTGTACTTGTTCTTTTCTTGTCCTTGTTCTTATCTTGTCCTTGCTCCTTTTGTTGTCCTGGTTACTTTCTTGTTCTTGTACCTTTTTTGTCCTTGTTTTTTTCTAGTCCTTGCTCCTTTTATTGGCCTGATTACTTTCTTGTCCTTGTTCCTTTCTTGGCCTTGTTCCTTTCTTGTCCTTGTCCATTTCTTGTCCTTCTTCCTTTCTTGTCCTTGTTCCTTTCTTGTCCTTGTTCCTTTCTTGTCCTTCTTCCTTTCTTGTCCTTGTTTCTTTCTTGTCCTTGTTCCTTTCTTGGCCTTGTTCCTTTCTTGTCATTGTTCCTTTCTTGGCCTGGTTCCTACTTTTTCAGGTTCCTACTTTGCTCAAATTTCTCGATTGTCTTGGCTCCTTCTTAGTCCTGCTGTTCCTTTCTTCTCTTTGTTCTGAATCCTTTCTTGTCCTGGCGTTCGCTTTATCCTGATTCTTCCCTTGGTTTGTCCTTCTTGTGATTTATAATGTTCTGTGTAAGACAAAGGACCTAAATAACTCAATTAGTTTTCTAATAAGATTATCTGTGTTATCTACCATTGTTGATGGGAAAACGCCAAGGAAATAATAGATATAAATCATACTCGGGCGCAAAAATTTCGCTTTAAGTTAAAATACATCGGATTTTCTTTCGAATTATTTTTCTCTTAATACTGAAGACAAAATTGGAATTGTAAAAATTGAACTAATAGTACATCCCTGAAATAATAGCACTCCCTTGAACTAATAGTACTCCCTTGAACTAATAGTACTCCCCTGAAATAATAGCGCTCCCTTGAACTAATAGTACTCCCTTGAAATAATAGCACTCCCTTGCACTAATAGTACTCCCTTGAACTAATAGCACTCCTATAAATTAATCGTACTGCATGATTATTGTTTACATAAAACAACCTTTGTGTACATGTCATACTATTGTTTAACACCATATTAATGACTAGTAATTTACAGCAAACACAAAACATCTATAACAGGGTTTTATTCATATTTATTGTATTGTCAGTTAACAAAAGACTTGTTGGCATAGAGAATAGAACATATAGAGAGGAATTAAAAGAATCTCTCGGTATGAATTTTTTCAGTCCCTTTCAGCCTGAAAGGTAGTTAAAAGTGTACAAATCATGTAAATGTTCACAAATTATATGCAGTAGAGTACATTAATACAGTATGTTCCCTAGACTATCCATTTCAATTTCGAATTTTTTAAACTGTTAAATAAACTTTATAATGAATTAGGTGAATAAAAACATCATTTGATTTATAGTTATAACGGAAAATCATCGTTTGTAAAGTGGAAGGCATAGAGTCTGTGTTGAAATGATCATTGGTCGATTATGAAACCAGCCCATTTCATAATTTGGTTTTCTTTTAACAATAATTTTAGCTTTTCTATAAAAAGATATTCCAGGGCCCAACAGGTTATATAGCATAAATATGTGAAGGACACCTGCAGTATGGAAACAGTACAACAAAATGGCCGTTTTACACTTTTTTCTAGTAAATTCCTCTCTATATATTCTATTCTCTATGCTTGTTGGTCTTTAAGTGGCTGAGCCTAAGTGAAGCATGCCATGGCCTCAGGTCCTTTTACAAGACGAAGACTAAAAAAATAAATCATCGGTTCAGACTCCAGATCTTATAAACAACGAAAACTGGAGAAAACAGGGATAATCAGAAGGAAAACTAGGGGAAAACATGGGGGAATTAGAAGGAAAACTAGGGGAAAATATGGAGGAATTAGAAGAAAAACTAGGGGAAAACATGGAGGAATTAAAAGAAAAACTAGGGGAAGACATGGAGGAATTAGAAGAAAAACTAGGGGAAAACATGGAGGAATTAGAAGGAAAACTAGAGAAAAACACGGGGGAATTAGAAGGAAAACTAGGGGAAAACATGGAGGAATTAGAAGGAAAACTAGGGGAAAACATGGAGGAATTAGAAGGAAAACTAGAGAAAACACGGGGGGGGGGCCGGGGACACTGCTGATAATAGTGCTTGGTCAGTGCATAAATCTACTGGTATTCTGTTTCCGGTTGGATAATTTCCTATAAAAATATGCCTAGAATAAGTGGCTTAGTTAATATCTCATTCATGTAGAATAGTTATACATAATATCTATTTTATATAAACATATTTACGAATACAATAGTAACATTCGAATATATACATTAAAGAAATTAGAAAATACTTTTCTTGAATTTTGGTCTAGAAAAATGAAGAGAGACCATTTAAAAAGAAGAAAATTATGCCCTTTCTAAATTAACACAATTATTAACTATAAATAATGATTTCTTCCCAGACCCCAAAAAAATATTTCAAAAGTCATTTTAAAAAGTATAAAAAAGATTCGTAAAGACTTTGTTTTCTTTTGTTTCCATGTTTATTGAAACTCCCTGTGTATTAAACAATGCAAAATCCATAGATTAATTAACAATACAGATAGAACACTATATGGCGTCTTTTCAAGATTTAGGGGGTTTTCGTACACAATAACCCCGAGGCAGAAGCCCAAAGGAGGTTGAATTACGAGACAAAGATAGAGCATGCGCGTAACTTCTTTGGGCTTCTGCGTCAGGGTTATTGTGAACAAAGAACTCTGAATTTTGAAAAGACCACATCTAGTGTCATATCTGTATTCTTATCAATCTATGTACTGTGTAATTGTTATGATTGACATATTTGTAGAAATGTTTGAACACATTTTCAGTAAAAATAATCTTGTATTGTTGATATCGAGATCAAGCATTGTTAATCAGATTAATTTAATTTTTATTCGATATCCCCACAGATAAATAAATAAACATAGATAGCTTATGTACGCAAAATCACCAAGAATTGTACAGTCCGCGAACTCATACTTCTAGGGGTCAAAGTGTAATTCAATGATAAGGGTGGTTTGGTGTTTTAATGGATTTCATAGAATAAGTGTAAAATAGCTCCGGGAATGGAACTATTTGGACAACAACATTTCACTGAAGAAGGACATGAGAAGGACTAAACTAACTTAAATTTCTCTCCACAGAACTCATGTACACCAAAAGTACTCAATGACATAAGAACAGCCAATGTTCACAACCGACCTAGTTAATCTATATAATAGGAATATCTTTAAAACATCTCTGTACATTTATATCTTTCAAGATGAAAAATGTCGTCTTATGCGCAATCTATCTTTATCTATGCATATCCCGCATGGTAATCAGATTAATTTAATTCTTATTCGATATCCCGCAGTCAAGGGTTGAAAGGCCGGAACTTTGATCAGAATTTAACTGAGATGACGAGATTATCCCTCAAATTAAAATTGCCCACAGTAAATATCGAGATCAGGGACCGAATTTAAAGAATTTGAGCGGCGGTTTAAATCCACCAAAATCCGGTTTAAATTAAGCGCCGGCTTAAATCTTGAAACATTTGATACAATTTTAAGTGGAACCAACAATATTTAAACCGCGGCTTAAATTTAAACCGCCGCTCAAATTCTTTAAATTCGGCCACAGGAATTCTAGATTACGAGTATCCAACACAAAATTCCCTGTTTAGGAAACATTAAAAAAAGTAACAAAGTAGAAAATATGAAAATAAATAAAAATGAAAGAAGAAAACTCTCATTTTACCCTTTTATAGTTACCAGTATTTTTACAGGGTGTCCCAATAAACACGGGAATTCAGTGACGAATTCAAATAATTTTTTAATTTAGTATAGTGATACCTACTGAGAAAGCTGTAATCTGTAAGAGTTTGGTCTGCTATGGTTCACATTTTGTTTGTTTATGTTTTGACTGCATACGGTTGTACTTAGTAAAACAAGAAAATTGTAGTATACAAACAGAGTAAACTTGTCCGTCTTCACTCTTCATCTTGCGGAGGCATATAGACACATCTTTACAGTAGTTTAGCCTTTTCATAAAATAAACTGTAGCAGACATAATAATATTATGGCTTTTGAAATTAGGTATTACAATGCTAATTCATAACAAGACGATATCGAGTTCGTCACTGAATTCCCATGTTTATTGGGACACCCTGTATAATAATATTTTTGCTAAGAATGAGTGCATTCTGTAATTAAATAATCTTATTTCCGTCGTAATCTCATTGTGATGTTATCACTGAATCAAATAAAAGAAATATAAAATGTTGGCTGGCCTTCAAAAAACTACATGCAATCAATATTAACCATCAAATGTGTTCACACTTTACTCAGTCTTGCTGCTGAATATATTATAATATATTAAAGGTAGAACTCAATAAAAGAAATTCCACTAGTAACCTGTCCTGATGATATTAGATAGAATACAAATATAAAAAGATAGATTGGCAAATATATAGAATATATATATATAGAATATATATATATAGAATATATATATATATATATGTATAGTATATTTATTGAAATATGCAGGGTGAGTTTAGCGTTTAAGTCTGAAAAATGATTTTTTATTTATAGAATTTTAAAAAGTAATTTGGCTTTTAAAAGTCAGCTAACAAAATGTGATGATAATTCTATGCGATCTTGATCTAAATTAAAATTTGTTTGGACGATGTGTTTAAAAATTAAAAAATCCCTTTCTATACATCTATTGCTGCAATTATATACAAAATAGTGATGTTAAACATGTATGCTTTCTATACTTAGATTTAAAAGGAAACAAAAAATGTTCGCCCCAACTTCCAAAGATTATAAAATATTCTTCAAATAACCCAAAAGTTTTTTCACATGACAAGACTGTTCAAACTTTGTCTGACTCTTTATATACATTTAAAGTCTAGGCTTCTATATCAACTTTAAATTGTGGCTTTATAGAAAAAAAATAAAAAAAGTTTGCGGATTTCATATTTTTTTCGCAAATTTTCGAAATTTTACAAAAATAAAAAACTTTTCAATAAATTTTTGAAATTTGATCATTCATAAACCTTTTCTGGGGTCACGTGAGGTCCCACACAAATTTGGGCCCGATCAGTTTAGCCGGTTTGACGTTTATTGGACACAAACAGACACACAAGCAAAGTATATAACTATAGATATAAAGAAATTTATATTTGCATATACAGGGTGTCCCAAAAAACATGGGAATTCAGTGACGAGTTTGATATCGTCTTTGTTATGAATAAGCATTGTAATACCTAATTACAAAAGCAATAATATTATTATGTCTGCTAGAGTTTATTTTATGAAAAGGCTAAAAGACTGTAAAGATGTGTATATAATGTCTCCGCAAGATGAACAGTACAACCGTATGCAGTAAAAACATAAACAAACAAAATGTGAACATAGCAGACGAAGCTCTTACAGATTACAGCTTTCTTAGTAGGTATCACTATACTAAATCAATGAATTATTTAAAAAGACGATTCCGAATTCGTCACTGAATTCCCATGCTTATTGGGACACCCTGTATATGTATATAAATATATATATATATATATAATTTAGATGAAAGAGATAAGAATAATTTACAGAATTTACGAACCTGAAGTAATGTAAGCAGCATTCGAAATAAAAATGTAAAAAAAGAAGATATGTTTAAAAATTAAAAAGTTACTTTCTAAGAGTCTTTACATCTATTGCTGTAATTTTATACAAATTATTTTCAATTAAAACAAGATATCATTTAAACATAAAGGAATTGAGTCTTTGCCAGAAACTTAAAATTTATAAACCCTTTGCAACTTAATGGTGCAAACCCTTGATATTTCAAAATTAGAAAATCAGAGATTGTAGCAAAAACCCAATTCATTTCTAAGGTCAGCGTTCCAAAGTGTTGATATTGAAAAGACTGGATGTTAATCTTTTCCAACCTGAAGGATGATAATTTCCTACAAAAGTTTTAAACTTTTATTTTAATAAATGATGAATTATGCTACATTTATTGAGAAATAAAAATAATAAATTAATTATATAAAATTATTGAAGTTATACAACATGCTGAATTCTAGTATAAAATACAGGACAAATATACTGTACATATATGTACTAATTGGTAACTGTACAACTACTCCTGAACATGTACTTTAAGGAGAATCCAATCTCATCCCTCAAGTTCTTTTCATCTTCCTTAGTACCATCCCCAACAAGAACACCTGGTGTATCATCAGAATGGAACCTAATGATTACAGGACCAACTAGTTTACTAAACACACCAGGTCCACTACCCAGTCCATCCTCCTTGTCAGAACTTGTGTCATATCCAACACCAACACCGCAGTAGTAGTCTTCGTTTGTGTACTCGGTCGGCTTCGATGGATCTGGCTTTCCGGTCCTCACCGCCCCTGGGATGATTAGATAATCAGCTGTTTTCTTCTCATCGTTGGATTTAACAATACAAGGTGCAATACCACATCCTGAATCTTTTCCACAGTTTTCATCTTTATACTGATCACTCTTCATCTTACCAACAGCTGTAGAAAAAGCTGCAATATTCTGTTCCTGAGCTAGGTTGATTTCACAAGCAGTGGTTGGTTTCTTGAAGCAGATAGCATAATCCAGGTTTAGAGGATATTGAATACGCTGAACTGGAGACCAATTATAGCTTCGGATTACTCCTGTGGTTTCTGTATGGTATTGAGCACAACCTTCAGGAGCCATAAGTTCTTGATCTTCTGGTTCAAGACAGTCAATTTGGGTAACTTTAATTTTCCACTTATACCCTTCAGTCAGGTTACCTTCAGCTCCTCTGCTAGAGGTTGTAATTCTAATGTTTGCCCCACCCATACCATCCTGTACAGGCAGGTAAACATGTTGACCAGTGTTACTGCCGCATAGATCTCCAATTCCATTGTTCTCTCCGGTACCACTGGTAATCTTTACAGAGTCTCGATTGCAGGGACGCTTGGCTTCAGAGCCACCATCAATTTCAAAATCCTCAAAATCTATTCTAATCTGACAAATATTCTGATTTATTGGCTCAATTTGAGCCATGCAGAGGGACGGATCCACATCCTTCCGGGGATAGTTGGCATTTTCAAGATATTCTACCTTATTCCTCATCGTAATCACACCTGATCCCATTCCACAGGAGCTGGAGAATATGCAACATTTACCAAACCCTTGAGCACAAGACAAGGTCGCCTCCCCACCTTTGGCTGTACATTCTCCTTCGGTATAGCAGATACCAGTCTTGTCTTCCGAGGCATTACAGGCAGAGTTCGGGAACTTGACGATATTAAACAATCCGAAGAACTTAGGATCTCGCTTCCCCTCAACCATACTTATAAAAGTTAAACCAAGAACAGCTAGTTGTATAATCATTTTGTTGCCCTCAGGGACTGAGGGATAGAAATTAAATTGATTAAAGTAAAGTTTGCAGCTGTAAGTGTGAAGAGTTGTGAAGTAAGAAAACGTCTGTTCTTGATTTATATAGAAACTTTACTGGTCAGGGGCAACCATTTTTTTAGAACGGGGTAAAACAAATTTCTGAAGTCCAAAATAAACAACATAATAACAAAAACAAAATAACAGTTGGACAACTAATAAATGTGGTTGAACTGTAGACATATGACGAAGGGTGAAGGGGGGGGGGGAATATTTTTGCCCCTAAAGTTTCCTCCATTTAACCCGGTCCAACTTTCTTAAATTAGTTTTATGTGTTTTCATAAGGAGTATTTTTAAATGAGTTGAGCATTTACCTTATACCAAAAAAAATTTTAAAGCAGAGTAAAGAGATTATCATTTGCTTGTAAAAGTAAATTAAGAAATCTAAATTATATTAAAACATAGAAGTGTACAGATTTTAAAGTGTTTTACGTCCAGATTTACTGGGCACTCCATCAATTTTTCATCCTCCATGTCTCAGATTTTAGTTTTATTGTTTGTGACGAATTCGAGAATTTGCAGGTTTAAACAATACTTTGTAAATTTAACCATACATCCTGTTTGACCCCTCACCCCTCCTAGTTTAGGTTTTATGCAAAAAGAGAAAAGTAACTGAGTTTTTGCCACAAACTCAAATACTCTAATTCCGATATCTTTACAACCTGATGATGTAAACCTTTGATATTTCAAACTTAAATTATTTGGTCTAACAGAATTCATAGTTTGAAATATCAAAGGTCTTCGACATTAAATAGCAAAGATATAGAGATTAGAAAAGTAGAGTTTGTGACAAAAACTCAGTTCCTTTCCCACTTTTTTCATAAAACCTAAGCTAAGGGGTGAGGGTCAAATACAATAAAAACATATATATAAAACATATATAAAAAAGAAAACTATTTTTTTAGTATACAAAACACGCTCCACTAGAAAAAAGAAGAAGGTTTTACTATTAATGAACGGCCGATTTAGAAAGTATGGTATGTTATTTTTTTTGCGGGATAAATGTTTAATGGAGCATTTTCAAGGAATATTTGACCTGTCTAGAGACTGTTTTGTCCCGAGCGTTGTGAAGGACAATTTAGAGTTACAAAAAAGACATTACTTGTGTGTTTTTGTGACCTCGGAGCTCCTCTAGTTTAAATATTTTACACAAGCAGTCAAATAAAAATTTTTTTGGTTACATATTAGAAATTCATAACATTTTTTTGCTTCTCAATAGCTCTTAAGTAAGAGTAGTTATTATTGAAAATACTTAAGATTGTAATTTAATGTGAAACTAAGTTTGATTACGCAATATATTTTAGCGATAATAAGAAATATAAATAATATGATATAATTTATAATCTCAACTCCACCCGCGCCGAAAAAAAAATAGTTGCTAGCTTAGAAATATATATATATTATATATAGATATATATAAATAGATATATAGATATATATGTAATTATAAATTCCTAATTATTTCCGGTATCTGTAGAACAGTGTGTTCTAGTAAACATAATAATCAAATGACTATTTGCATTTTTTATTTAAAAAAACTGTCAGATACCCTTTCAAAATTATCAAAAGGCCTTTATTAATATAAACTATTCTTGTTTAATGGTTTCAATTACACTTTCTCCAACTGAAACATAATTCATGAAGCAGTAATATTTGTTTGTCAGTCTGTTTGTCTGTTTGTCTTTATATATCTTTGCAACCTGATATAGTGGACCTTTGATATTTCAAACTAAGAATTATGTTAGAAAGATAAGTCTAAGATTGATATATAAAAGGTTTACACCATCAGGTTGCAAAGAGTTAAGTTTGAGGCAAAAGCACGAATTGCCCAGGCAGTATTTATAATAAATCAATGCCGCGGAATACAAACTTATTTTGTATGTAATGGGCGTACTCAGGACTTTGTCCAGTGGGGTTATTGAACCCCTTTTTTTCTTTCCATGGGGGGATCAGCATGAATACCCACCTGGAAACTATAGATTTTACTTATCCAAGGGGGGGGGCTGAGCCCTAATGAGCCCCCCCCCCCCACTTGAGTTCGCTTAATTCTTAAGTTAATTTCAAAAAACTCTTAAGTCTTTTGAAAGGTGTCCCCCTAGATAACATATAATGGGTGGCGTATCCCTTCCTTAGTCTTCCTTTATTTCTAAAATTTACTCAACTAACCTCTTGGTGTCTACTAGTGAGGGTGTGGTTGTCTTTCAATAATTTTATGTTTAGAAGGATACACTGCATATTATTGTATAATTCATCAAATTCTAAAACGCGCATTGAAGCACACGAATCTAGGATTTATATAATCAGATATGCTTGAGTACATTTTTTAGTCCGGAAATCATCATCCCCCCCCCCCCCATGTGTACATCATCTATATATATATAAATCGCTTGTCTGTCTGTTTATTTTTCTGTCTGCAACCAATAAACGTCAAAACCAAAGAGAATATATTGGTATAGAGTGGAATTAACTCGAAAACAGTGTAAACTTCTGTTGTACAGTTTCCACACTGCATGTGTACTCACATAGATTCAGTCTACTTATAGTAAAAAGTCTCATCAAATTTAAGACAAGGTTCACTTTGAAGTGTCAAAACGCCTGGCGCTTTAATTTTACCGCACTTACTCACTTATGCTTTTCTGTAGCCCTTTACATGTACATTTTAGCGCTACACTTGTTGTTAGCTTTGGTTTTTAAGAAGTTATTGGCAAAATTATCATCGAATTTTCTTAAGAGCTTCACAGTGTACTTCACCTGTTTCTGTGGTCAAAACGGCTGAACCGATCGGGGCCAAATTTCGTTTTGGACCTCGCAAGACACCAGGGAAGTTTTATGAATGATCAAAATTTCAAAAATAAACCTCCAACAAAATTGGATTTTCATTGAATTTAAAAATCCACAAAATCTTTTTATAAAATCCGCAAACTTTTGTTATTGTTTTACAAAGCATACAAAGAAAAAATTTTCACAATTGAAATAGAAGATGGGCGCGAAGCCCCCTGAAAACCTAATAATTCATGTATGTCAACTTAAATGTTTGTAAGTTACAATTTTAATTTGGATATTACTTGATGTCTTCAAAATTGTTTTCTGTTTCGTTAGTGAATATTATATTTCTAAAAAATGGTCCGAATTCAATTTACTTATATTCATATTCATTTATAAAAATCCCGCAAACACATAAAATTCTATCATCTGACTAGTTTATACTAAAGCATTCAGTGAAATATGACACGTTTTTCACACTTATAAGTTATAATAGTAAACATTTGAAAAATACAGGTATTATATTTTTATGTTAATGTTCTACGTTACATCATACAATTCTTTCAGGGTGGTAAGTTGATCTAGCAATTAGTTTATCTTTCAAATGTTACGTACCTGAAACCACAATTGTTCGAACAGTTTTAGAAAATTAATAATATAAATCGTTGCTCTCATTATGTAAATACAAAAACAGATAGATAGATAGATAGATAGATAGATAAGATAGATAGATAGATAGATAGATAGATAGATAGATAGATAGATAGATAGATAGATAGATAGATAGAGATAGATAGATAGATAGATAGATAGATAGATAGATAGATAGATAGATGGATAGATAGATAGATAGATAGATAGATAGATAGATAGATAGATAGATAGATAGATAGATAGATAGATAGATAGATAGATAGATAAAGATGGGACCTCTGTAACAATTTAATAATTGAACCGGAAATAGATTAGATGTTTTTTTATAAATACAGCTAGAGATCTAGATCACGCAGAAAATTTGAAATGCGCCGAGTTTATCCGTAGTGTGCGTAAAATAGCGTAAATAGCGTACGAACCTCAGTTATACTTAGAGAGTGCTGAGATTTTTATTAATTGACTTACCAAATATATCAGTATATCTATTGTTTTTATGTCAATTATCTGCTGGTTTTCATTTCAAAATATAAATATAAATCTGGCAACAATTTGTTCGGTGCTTTTCAACTGATTTTGTAAATTTGATTTCATTTAAAAGAATTGTTTTAATTGGATATTTCAATTTTAAATTCTACCCACAAAAACTGGTTTATCCAAAATGTTGCATCTTTATTTTTTTCAGAAATTATAAAATGCAATTTCTTGCCTTCTTTTTATTAATTGAGGTAATTATTAGAACTTATATTGTATTAAACCTTGAAGACAGCAGGATATTTTGTTAACCATTTATACTGATCCTACCTTTTTCTTATAAATATTTTTTAATATTTTTTTATGTTTTTATTTTTTTTTGAACAGAAAAACAAAAATGTGTTAATAAATTATTTCTATCGAAATCTAAAATTTTATAATATTGAATCACAGAAACTCAGAAAATTTGCAAAATTTTAATAAGAAAATTCGCAATATTCAGTTCTGTTATAATTTTTACGCATAAATTATTTTTCAATGGTTCTTAAGGTTTCAACTGAACAGCGTATACTTAATACTATAGAATATACTAAGAAGAAAGGAACTAGAGAATTTAAATAACTTTTCCGTAAAAATTATACCAGAACTGAAAATTGCGAATTTTCTAATTACAATTTTGAAAATTTTCTGAGATTCTATGATTCAATCTTTTTAAAATTTTAGATTTCGATAGAAATTTAA